CCTCCTTCTGGGGCCCTCTTGGGGCGCTCTTGGGGCGATTTTGGAGCGATCTTGGGTGCCCTTGGGGCCGTTTGGGGGACCTCTTGGGCACATCTTGGGGCTCTTGGGAGGCGAGAAGGCAAACATCAGTGATGTTCACTGGGTTCTTGGAGGATTTTGAGCTCTTGGGAGGATCTTGAGGGGGCTCCGAGAGCTCTTGAAGCCGTCTTGCGGCCCTCGTCGAGCCTCTTGGAGGCATGTCGGAAGCTATCTTGAAGCATTCTCGGTTTATTGAGCCGTCTTGGAGGCCATCTTGGAGCATATGATGCCCTCTTGGAGCCATCTTCGGCGCAAAAGGACCCCTTGCCACCTCGCGCCCCCCAATCAAAAACCTCAGGGAGAGGAGGGGAAGGGTTTCCTTTCCCCGAAGGGAAGACGGTTCTCGGAAGAGGAACGAATGAACTCGTCAGACCACCTTAGCCCGAAGGACTGGTGGGATCATGTTCGAACATCCCCACCCTCGGCCCCTGCCACTGCTCGGCCGCGACGAGCGCAGGGTGCTGATGGCGTCACGTCTGGCGCCAGCCGTGCGCTCTCGGCGCGACGCCGCCGCATTGGCGGCCGCTGGGACGTCTCCACGCCGACTCCCCCCCTCAAGCACCTCGGCCGTTGTGCGTCCCAGCCAGGGTTTCGAAGAGGGCCCCCCAAACGGTATGGTGGGGGCGTTCGTTAAGGAATGTGCCCTGGAGGCTGCAGGCCCTGGAGGATTCCTCATCAGATGAGGGCGGCAGTGATGTCCATGGCCGATCCACGATTGGAGCCCCACTGGCCTTCAGACCCTGGATTCCTTGCCTAAGGATTCCTTGTCCAATGTCCCCACCGTACAGTGCCGTTTTTAAAACATAGCACCCCGCAATAGCGGATGAGAGTGAGGGGGCGGGCGCGGGCGACGCGGACGTCGTCGAGCCGGCGGACCTCGTGGCCCCCACCTTCCTTGTCGATGGCGCTCTCCTCCTCCTCCTCCTCGTCCTCCTCCTCCTCCTCCTCCTCCTCCTCTTCCTCGTCCTCGTCCTCGTCCTCGTCGTCATCGTCATCCTCCTCCTCCACCTCGTCCTCCT